TATATATATATATATAATATTTTTGACAGTATATATTTTAAAGCACTTTTTTAAAATAATTGCTTATATATGTAGCAACCACGTTATTGTTCCACATGTCTGTGAACCATATACATGTGATATATTTAACGGAGTATATATAATTATATATATATATATATATTGTGGCAAAAATTCTTTGTTATCACTTAGATGGACAGTCTTAGACTTTTAGTGATAGATTTTCATACATTTTCATATTTGCTGCAAGGTAAATTGCGCGCGGCCGAATATATAGTATATCAACCTTATTTCTATTGAGATTTTACTTTCTTCTTAATAATCTAACGTTATCATTATTCACCGCTAAAATATAACAAGCGCATAATGTTAAAACTCAAACATGAAATAACTAAACATTGTTCTATAATACTTTTAACACAAAGATAAACGAATTAATGCGTAAAAACGTGAAATGTGTGTAAAAGATTGTCTAAACTGTTTCGGCCTTGCAATCAATACATTCTCTTCTGTTTGGTATAAAAAGATTAAAACAAAGAATAAAATATTTTTACTTATGTTAATTTCTCTTTGAATTAATTAGCATAAGTTTGATTAAAATATATATAATTAATACAATTATATTTTATTATAAAATATATCGATAAGAATATGCTAATCTAAGAAATTCTGTATCAATATACTCTCTTTATAATATTTACCACCGACAAGCCTGAAACAATGCTTGATAAGCTATTGATAATTGGTTATAAAATATGATTGATGAAAACATGTCCATTCTTGCAAATCTAAAAGAATGTTGCGTCAATACGTTATCTCGATGATATTCACCATCGACAAGGCTGAAACAATTATTGGCAATTATTACGGCAGAAGAGAAAAAAAAATAAAAACAGGCATCAGGTATCTGCAAAAATATGGCTTTTAATTCAACAAAATTGTATCAAAACGGGAGAAACGCGAATAAAGGATGAACTGTATTCAAAGAAGAGAGCTGCAACATAATTATACATAGTAAGAAAAAAAAATAAAAAAAAATAAAAACAAATCAATTCCCTACAATCCGCGCCAGAATCGTAGACCATGTACTTCTCCATTTCGTCAACCGTTAAACAGTCCATATGAGCGAAATATCTGTGACAGCCGCTCGCTCCGGCTAATACTACAAAAATTCAGTCGATTACGTGTCAGTAATCGCAATACACGTTTACTGCCGCAATCGAATATAGAGATACATTGTAATCTAACGTAAAATTAACAATGTTTAACGTCATTGACAAGTATTGTAATGGAAAAATGATCAGCGAGTTATATAATATACATTTGAAAAGTCTCCCGTTACATCATATTAATATCGAATATATATCACGCGCGCAATGTAATAATGACAAATAATTACTGGATAATTAGTTTCGCCACTTTAGAATAATCCTTCTAGCATTATCGTAACAGTTCGTATTAAATTAAGCGTAATACTTTAATATGATAAACGCATGATGACGATACTATTATAGATTTCCTGAGAATTCTACGTGTTTTTATTGAGCACAGCTCAAATTACCATAAAGGAGCTCTATCGTCTCGCGTAAAAAATTATTGTCACTGCGAAAGCCAGAATTCGACTCTCACACTTTAACAAAAAATGTGTATACGCTATGTGTATGTGTATACACGTATGTACGTGTATATATACGTTTTTCTAATGCATATGGCTATAATCTAGCACCTACTGTACTCGGCATGATAGTATTATTTCGCGGTAAAAAAATCGATAAGAGAACCTGTCTCTCTAAGTGAACATACTAAATAAAAGTACATCGTTGGCGCTCGAACGTAGTAAAAACTGCGTTCACAATAGGAACTTTTTTTTACAAACACGATTTTTCAATATTTATCTTGTCCTTTCGCACGCACGGTAACGATAATAAACCAATCGTTGCGCGTCCGCAAGCTCAATCAGCGGTGTGAATCGGCGCATGTCCCCGTATCATTGGACTAGTCCTAGCTGTCCGTGGCTCCGCGATAAAAACTAAGTCTGCACCCTGTTACCCCAATGTTCTAGATCAGGCGGCGCAACGTCGGTTAACCGAAAAAGTCAAAAAGGAACAAAAAGGAGAGGAAGACGACGAACGCAAAGCGAACATAAAGCAAATGTACTGAACTGTGTCCGCGTGTGTACAAGATTTTGTCGTTTCCTTCAAATCATCGTCGTATTTGATATACGAGGGCGTACGTTAGTTGTTCATTCCGAAATTTGGATTCAACCCTATCACTTGATTAGTCTTTGAGTTCCTCGTCAAGGGTGTATGATGTGACATCGAGTCCACAGAATGTTGCCACTGCCAGCAGCTGCGGCAAAAGTACCGGAAACATGCCTAAACATAGATGCAGGCATAATTTGAATAAATATATACCATATATATATATACACAAAAGGATTTGAATTATAAGAAAATAATTAACAAAATTAAATTGTTTTCACATACCACATCGCGACAGAAGTAATGTCCCTGTTGTACAACGCATCCGGAGCATATCGATTCTTCGATGTACGGGTCCACTTGTACCTGTGGGAGCAAATATAAACACATATTTTACTTTTTACACATATATAAGCTAAATACAGTCTCTTTATTATATGTAGTTGTAGAATTAGACGTACCTTTTTCGTAAATTTGTCAGTCTTAATTTCTATGAATGAAGCTGTGATCGCTTTAAAGTACGATTGTTTCGTACTGAATGTAACACGACCGGAGCCTATCGGATATTTATGCTTGTCCGTATCGATACCTATGATAGTAAACTTTATTAGTTTTTGACGTAGTATTATTTAAAATAATTGCGTGCATAAATAAACGAAATACACACAAAGTGTGTATCAAGCGACGCGGTAGCGTCGCGACGCCAAGTATATGTAAAATTTAAAAAGTAATATTTAATCAAGATAAATGATGACAATTACACACCCGCATAAATGACCCCATGAAAAAGATCATCCATGACTTTTGCTAATCCTGCGGCCGTTAGCATTCCGTGCAGCGCACCAACGAACACCGTTTTATGCGCATCGAGTCTTTGCGACGAAGATTTGACATAGTTGCTATTCTCGAGGATCCATGGAATCACTTGTACCTAAAATGGAATATAGTGATAAGAATTTAATTTAACAATATATTTTTGAAAAAAAAATATGTATATAAACAATTAACGTACATCTTTTGGCTTTGAACGCTTGGATATAATTTTATAATACCATCTTTTTCCATTGGTAATATCGTGGGTGCAGCAGGACAACATTGCTCTGACCTGAAAGATATATATACATAAATCTTTGTATTATCCGAGATCAGTAATCGAATGTTGATAGCCACGTACCTGTTTCTCTGATTCGAATATAATATACGCGTATCCTTTCGGTTGAGCGGACGGTGCCTTCGTCGGCCACTCAACGCGAACCGGTCCGAATTGTTTGAATGTCGAAATTAGAATGGCTTCCGTAACATCCCATGGTACACCTCCCAGAAATACTTTAGGCGAATAAGCGACTGGTTCCTCAGTACTTTGTGGCAAAAAGCCGCTCCAAGTGCACGTGGGATAACAATGTGCTGAGATATATAAATAAATTGATAAGTGTTTACAGAATCTTCCACAAAATTCGCATCTACATCTAGGCTAGTGAATCTTTTTTTTACTGATATAGTCAAAATTCCGCAAAAAAAAAATTTAACATATCATTCAAAAAAATGTATTTTAATATAAATGTAATTTAATATTCAATATATCTAAACAATTATATATATTTAAAAGTTTTGTTAAGATATACTTAAAGTTACAAAATTTTCTATTATGCAAAACATAGATTCTATTATGCAAATTTGTATAGAAATTTCGTATGATTAATTTAGGTAATTTGTTATATCATACATTCATGTACAAATAATAATAACAAAATAATTGCAATAATTTTTTGTGTACAGCGTAAGTAGATAAAATATATCACTACCAGCAGCACTTCGATGGGATCTCGCTACTCGATCAAGCGACACTGGTTGAACCAATCTACGCGCGGCGCTTCCAAGACCGGTACAACAATTTTTTTCGTGATTTAAGAGAGAATTGAGAAAATTGCTACGATTTTGCCCCATTCCATGATGATGCTGGTAATAATGCGAGCTCGTTGGATTCTGTTGTAACGATGACAAATATTTTTTTACAGCCATACGCTCGAATGCCGTTCTATTATTGGGGCACGTGTTCGTCTTCGACATTATGGAGTCCAAGGCTGGGAAGCAAGAATTCGACGAGGAATTCAATGATAAACAATTCTACAAACAAGAATTTCGAATTAGCGATATTTTACGAAAATGATGCAGAAATGCATCTTAGGTAATAAAAGAATTTTTGCGGAAGGAATACTCTCTCACCATTATTATGTCGGATAAAGAACCATCCGCGCTACCGATACCGCTTGTCTCTGAATCTGCCGGTGAGTTGGAACGCGAGCCGTTACATCCCAGAAAATGAGAGAATTCTAATGTTGGGCTGCCGCAATCACTGGCGTCAATAAATTATCATTTGTGGAATATACGAAATATTAGGAATTCAATAATCATTCTCAGCAATATTTCGTATATGTACACATAGTCACAAAATATATATTGTTTATTTGATTAATATATAATTCATTAATTGATAGAATGGAATTAATATATGCACACAATTATATGTGATTTAAAATTAGTAAATATCAAAATTTAATATTAATTTAAATATTTATGAGAAAAAAAGTTATTGCTTCTTGTATTTGAAATAAATTTGATCAATTATTTTATATTGCATGCATTTTATATTTTTGAAATACACACTCTTATGGTGTTTCATTCTCGCTATTTTCATCTTTTGATTTTTTTCTTACCTGTACGGAGTAGAGCAACCTCGTATAGGACGGCCATAGCATGACGAATCAATGGGCGATGACGAAGAGCCGGGATATTGAAATGATGGTCGGCTAGTTGGTGAAGACGGCGTGTTTGTACTATTACTGGCAGTGGACGAATAGCTGTAAAGATCCGATGTGAAGCTGCCGGGTGTGCTCGGGCTGCCGGGAGTGGCCACCGAATTCGGCGAGCTCGGAATATCCATGCCAGAGGAATTCGAGCAAATGCCATGATTGCGATGGCACTGTAAGCATACATAATTAATACAGTAATTACACATATTACCAAAAGCCGCCAAAATCTTAATTTATCCTGCGCGTACACACGTCTCTCTCGTACACCATAAAGTAAATAAATCGTTCCTCTCACAATCATTAACATTATTACAACATAAAATCATCGATAGCATATCTCGGTGAGTTCAAAGATCTCGATACATATAAATGTCAAAATAATTTCAACTGTATCTGTAGCATCGAAAATTGAACTTGGATATAATACGGTTTCGTGCTCTAGTTAAGCAACATATCTCGAAATTTGCGAGATAGTAGAAAGAAGTGTGGAATTCGCTTTGCACACATACGTTTCAAAGTACTTGGAATATGTCCAAATTGAAACGAAGTATTATGCGATATGTGAGAGGACACGGTGTCTTGAAATGGCAGCGACTTTGCGCCGACTCGATTTAAACAGAAAAAGGCGTTCCCTTTAATAGAGCCGTTTGGCTCGCGTGAACCAACGGATTCTCGGTCATCGAAACTATCCCAGCGCGTGATATTCATTTTATATCCGGATCATTATATTTATATCTTGAGCCAAATTTATTGAAAATTCGTTATAAATTTTGTTTTGCGATATTTGAATATTCAAATATTTGTATATTTAAATATTTTATGTATATAATTAATAATCAAAGAAACACAAATGATAAATTGAATTTTTATTAATAAAAGATTGTGATTCGAAATTTGCCACGAAAAAGATATCGCTAGGAAAGTGCAATAATTCTGAGATGTAAAATATGTATGCATATATATATGCATGTAAAATATATAATACGATATGATGAACATCGATAAAGTTAAATATTAGAATCGGAAAACATGAGTAAGAAAATAAGGTAGTTGGAGTTATTCCAATGGGATAATCATTGTTCGAGTTATTGCACCGTCGAAGAAATTCCTGCAGCACAATATGCTTTATGTTACATTTATCATTTTTATTGCCATTCTGTACGTAAAATTTGTAGTTCGCTGAAGTTATTACTGCAAACGCGTTTTTTTATCAAATCGTCGTCGAGTCAAATGTGTTCTTATATTATAGTGAACAATGCCTCGCAAGTAATAGCAACATAGTATAATTTTTTCGTAAAATATTAATAATAAATTCGTAAAATATTAATAATTTCGTAAAATATTAATAATAAATTCTCAAAAATATTATAACAATGCAAAATATATAAAGTGTAAAATAATAAAATAAAAAAATAATATTTTTGAATTAAAAATAAACATATTATGATAAAATTCCTATTTAATTACACTTTGTAATTTGTCGGTATAATCAAATTGCGTTCTCTTATTTATCAATTAACAGATTATGTTATCTTGACGTAAAATATGATTTCCATTTATATATAATATTTTGCATTTCGATAATAAATATAAGCTTTATCACGATGCGCCAATCGAATATTGACTCCTACTGATCCACCTACTCTCTATTGCTTCTATCCAGTTGTAACGAAAGCCGCATTAAATATCTTTCTCATATATAATTTGCTATGCATTTATATATTATTCAAATCCGTCACAATGAATAAAAACTTTCTCATTCTTTTAATAAACTTTCTCTTCTCGACAATATTATTTAGAATCTTAAATTTTCATTGGAATAAATCTCTATGGATAGATATCCGTACCTCGTGTTGTTGTTGTGAAGATCCCTGGGTTTGATCGTAATTGCCAAATTGATAATTACGATAACTCGGAGAACCAACCGTCAGTTGATTTCCCATTAGCGATCCTCGGGGCAAACCAAGTCCGAACATATCCGAGATTGCGCTGCCGCCTATGTATTAAAAAAAGACAAATTAATACACTCATTCGCGGAGTAAAAATTTGGCATAATAAATAATCTAATAAATATCCAGAAGAAACTTTAATCTTTTCGCAAACAAAGTAAAAAAGTTAAGTGATACCCATAGAATCAAAATCTTTGATGCAATTCCCAGTTTTTAAAAGAATTTTAGGAGACAACTTTATCATCACCTTTCATTTATTTAATTCGCATAATTTTTTACACAAGTAAACAATATGCAAAAGAGAAAGCGGGAAAAAAATGTTTCGTCTCACCGTCAATGCTGACATTCTTGTCGGATTGGAAAGAGGAAGAAGCATCCTGCGAGTAATTCGGAAGATGCGTAGGCGATGGCGGCGTTGGTAGATCGATCAATAAATTGTTGATCGATTGCAACTGATGCAATCTCTCGCGCTCTTGGTCGCGTTCCTTACCACGCTCCCGCTCGCGGGTCTGGCTCAGTTTCCGCAGTAGCAGCTTACTACGCTCCCGGTTCTGTGTCGTCGCATCCTGATGGTGCAACGGATCCTGATGATGCATCGATAATGGTTCTCGATCAAATTCGACGTCCGTTTCGTCGCTCTCGTCGCTCAGTGAAATGTCCGCCTGCAAAATCGACATTTACTTATCAGTCGCAGAAGTGAATCGAGTATACGGATAATATTTTACAAACGCGAAATTTTTCAAGCAATTTCTCTAACGTCGAGATATCAATCAATCTTTTCAACTGTCCTAAAAAAAATCTTGATTCGGATACCGACAATCGTTGAATTTTAAACGATCGAAAAAAGAGATCGAAAGACGTTGAACTACTTTTATTTAATTAGCAAAAGCTGTAAAGACGTTAAATATGCAAATGAAGAATTGACTTCGAGAGAAAGTGGTTTCGTCAGAATCTGATTTGGGGTATATATAAATACGAATATATACATTATCTTCACAGAAAAAAAAAAAAAAAAAAAAAAAAAACACTCCTATATATCTTACGCGTAGTTCAATGTAAATTTTTAATTAAAATCACAGATTTTCAAATCCCTTCGCTGATTTTTTTCGAGATCGTTTAAAACTCGCGAAAATTATTGTGTTCGACTCGATTCGAGATAAACTCGCGATACGAAATGTAATATATATATTCTTTACGGTATTTCTCACCCGATATCGCTTATTCCGCACCTCGTGGTCGTGATAACGAAAGAGCGGCCCGTTTTACTTGAAGAAATCGAACAATTGGCGCGCGACGTGTCACGTTCTCGGTACGAACGACGCCGACCGACTGCGCGGCGCGCTCGAGGAACGAAAACAGCGCGCCTCCTGAAGGACGCCACGCTGCCGGTCGTGGCGCGTTTATGGAATTTGCAAAAAAAAAAGGGGGAAAAAACATTCTTTAGGGGAATGAAGGGAAAGGGGAATATCGAGAAATACACATTCCACGGCTTTTCCAAGAATTTTGGCTTTTGGCGAACCCCGTCGAATTACTTGTACACGTGATAATTCTATCATTGTGTTTACTACGTCACCGATGACGTAGTATAGATAATAGCTCGAGTCCTTTTCGTCTCCTGAAATGATTTCTATTCTTTTCCATCGAAATGATCGAGTATCTCGAGATTATCGTAATCAATCTGGTAATAATGATGATATGATTAATAAAAGCGATGATAAAAGGTCTTGTTAGTATTTTAAAACGGAAGATTATATATATATTTGTGAGTTTTCTAAATAAAAAAAAATGTGGAAATAGATCATTTAATTATAAAGGCGATGATGAAAATAAACATACATAATAATAATAACAACGGATAAAATTGTATTGCTTGGAAATTTATTACAATAAACTCGGAAATACATTTTATCGGAATTTCGCGCGTTCAAGATATCATAAAACCAGAACACATGTACGTTATCAAATTCCGCAATTGACTCACCCCTCGTACAAATCGATTGACCCAAGAATTTTTGGCAATCGCGCACGAATGCATCGATCCCGTCTGCGTATCGCAAACGTATTCGAATAAAGATATCTCGAAGATATATTGATATATTCGCGCCGAGGGAATAAAATTTTCTCGCGCCTACGTATATATGTATTACAGCTCCGATATGTATGCCGCCGTGTTTATTTACATTCGCTCTCGGCGCAGGACATTCCTTCGCTATACACCTATCTATGTCGTCCATATAGAGCGTCGAATTAATAAACGAGCATTTCAAGCAGAAGAATAAAGAAAAGATGGCAATCACCAGGATCATCGGAGATAAAAGTGGCAATTGAAATCACGGAACCGCGATCGGTTTGGCTTCCAACATCCTTGAAATGTCGTGACTTTGTTCAATTCTCCATCTATATATCAGCACTTGTAGAGCGATATAAAATATGCGGCATAATATCATAATAAATATGATTAAAATTGTATATATTAGGCGTCTCTCTCCTTGAATTTTAATACGTTGAACGCGAATCCGAAGCCGACATTAATCCCGAATAATCGGGTCTTAATCTCGCGGACGGATGATGAGACTTACCGATTGCATTAGCGTGGGCATGTCCGTAGAAAGAATTCGTCGACGGTCCTGTCGCGAGGAGGAAGCGAGTTCTGGGCGATGTAAGCGATGTAGATTCAGCTGACGATACACACTGCTCGCTCTCGCACGGCCTCCAGAGACACGAGCACGAGCGAGTAAGAGCCGCCGACTCAACTCGACTGTCGTCCGCCACTAATAACAACGTGCGATAAGCTTCATGTGTTGCGCGTCTCCCGAGAAGTTACGTGCGAATGACGATGATAAACAGCGGCGGCCGGTGGCGAGGGCGAGGGATGATGATTCCTCGGGATAAAGGATCCGCCCGGTCGCGGTGGGAGATTTTAACACGTCGCGCGAAACGCATTCGACGCGCTGTCTTTTCTCGACCTTTCCTTGCGAAAATCGTCTCTCGATCCTTTGCGATTTTATTGACGATGGTACAACGGTGAAACGCCCATTCTTCCGCGTGCTATACCACCCCGCGAATGAACTAAAGATTTCTCTGCTCGCATTTTCTTTCTTTCTCTCTCACCCTCCCTCTCTCTTTTCCCTCACACGCACGCTCCATCAAAGACCGCGACGATCCGGAATCTTTGAACGTATCGTGAACATCTTTATTTTATATATATAATATTTTTTTATTATCTTTTTATTTTCTTATATTCTATCATGTAAAAACGTAAAATTTAAAAAAGCAAAAGAGCTTAAAAAAACAAGACTTTTTCCGAAAAGCTTAAATAAAGGTGGACGTGGATCCTAAAGAAAAGAGATATTCAATTTTATTTTTCACAGCGACAGATTCCTTAAATCTGAAATTAACTATTAGAATTGTCTTTGTATCCTTTATTTTTCAAGCTAACACATGTTTGATACAATATCAACAAAGTAAAATGTATCTTGCCACAAAAAAAATTCACATATAATTTTATAAGATGTATCAAAACTAGAGTATATAAAAAATGTATATACACTATTTACACCATTATTTTAATACGCCGAGTATTACATACTGCGGAGAATAAATATGCTTTAAGCAAAACTATTTGCTTTATGCATTGACAGATTTAATTATATTCTATATGCGCAGTCGATGAATCTAACATTTCGACTTCGGAGCTATCGCCGGTCGAATAATTAACGACGTCTCGCGTTTGCCGTTCTATTTTGCCGGACGTACCATCTTCCCGGATCTTTCCCGTTTTACCGGAATTTTCTCCCCAACTATTAGAGAACAGAATCACCCTTAATTTATCGATATCTTGACTGCTTGAATTATTGCCTACATTACTGGAATTTTCCAATCTGCTTTCACTGTCTTCAGATTTGTATTTCGGTATTTCCGTAGGCGCATCTGAAAAATTTCGTTCGTAAACAAATTCCACGGTTTTATTTCACGAGCTTAGGAATGCGATGTAAAAATTGAATCGATCATTGCAATAACGACTGAATTGTACTACATACCAGGATATGGTGGTGCCTCATCAATCAATTGTTCCATTACGTAACCCAACATGGTTGCGGTAAATGTGTCGTCCCTTCTGAGACCGAGCGCTCTATGAAAAGCATCCACTGCTTCCTGGATGTTACCCATTAACGCGTGAATAAAACCGATCGATGAGTAAGTCGATGGGTTTAATGGATCCAAGACTAACGCTTGTTGATGATATTCTAATGCTTCGACATATTTTTTCATTTTTCTACAAGTGTGCCCCAAGTTATTCAGTAATGCTTCCCATTTACTGGGCAAAATCACATTTCTTACATCGCCCTGAATGCTTTTCATGGCTTCCTTAAATAATCGTTCAGCATTTTTGTAACTGTGTTTAACAAGAATAATTTTAGATAATTTACATGGATAAATTGAAAAGGTACACTTAATATCTTAGTTTTTCGAATATAAATGATGACGCAACGATATTGAATATCAAAAGAACAAAAGTAATACTTACTCTAAATTGTAAAAGCATATAACACCCATTTCATGTATCACAAATGGATCATTTGGTGCTATTCCTTGAGCTTGTAGAAAGAACTTGTCAGCCAGTTTTAAATTGTTGGTCAAACCGCACTCTAATCCGATATACAAAAGGGGAAGATGACAACCTTTCATTAGTTGTGATGCTTTAAAATATGCAGCCATTGCTTGATCGTGTTCATTTTCTACTGCAAAGGAATGTCCATATGCCAACCAAGCAGGACCAAATAATCTATCTAGTGCTGTAGCCTTCGCTAAATATCTTCTTGCTTGATCGCTTTTGCCTTGAATATAACAATGTTATTAAAAAATTTCTAATTTTTCTTTCTTATTCGCAAATATTTATATCATTTAAAATTCTTAAAATTTTTTTATTTCAGTACTTTTCATATTTAGTGATATTTAATTATATTTAAAAAATAATTATTAAATAGTAATTAGTTACCTATGGTATAATAATAACATCCGACTGCAAACCATGCCAAAGCCATTTCCGGATATAAATCAACCAATCTGTGTGCCAGATAAAATAAAGCTAAAAAAGAAATATCTCGTTAACAAATTTAAATGTTGACATGTTTTTTTATTACAACAATATAAACTTACCATTAGTCTTTTTAAGCTCAACTAAGCAAGCAATGTGTACTGGAAGACACGAGTTGTGATATGGATCCTTTTTCAAAATTCTGAACATTAAAAGTATCAAGTTATGTTTTGTTATGGAATACGAAAATATTTCATAGGAATTGTGTTACTTACTTCTCCGTAAGCGAGAAACATTGATGATAATCACAGTTATAATATAATCTTTCAGCCTTTGCAACTTGCATATCTAAATTGTCTGCTAATCTGTCAGTGACGCAAATTCCCATTACATTGCATGTAATTAACGATTGCTTTGTATTTGGCTCTTGATATTTTTTTAATTTACTATCATACAACAGTCGTAGAAGTTCCGCTTCACCTTTCATGCATTGTTCAGCAAACGGTAAGGATTCCAAGAGTTCTCGCTCTAAATTAGCATTCATTACATTAAATTATTTAAAAATATAATATATTCAACATAGTCAATATAATATATACCTTCGGAGGCTGAAAGCATTTGATTTTGCACCAAAGCTTCAAACGCTTCGTACGAATAAACATCACATTGTAGAGCTTGTTTATAGCACTCTGTTGCTACTGCTCTGTTATCCATGGCTTCATAAACTCTTCCTTTTACATATAATATCGAGCTCTGAACCTACAAGAAAAGATTACATGCATAATCATCTTAAATATTAATATATAGCGAATAACTATAAATAATATTATTGTAATGTTATTATACTATTATTTTGCAAATATATTATGTACATAGATGTATAAATATACTTACATTTTTTGGGGCATCCTGAAAAATGTCCATACGATCCGCAAATGTAATACCTGTTTGCGTTATATTAGTGCATATTTCAGATTCATTGATAACTTGAAGAGCATCATTATATTCCTTCGCTTCTAGTAAACACCTCACAGTTAAGTAGTGACACATTACATCAGTCTATAACAACAGAGATATCATTGTTTAATTCAATAAATTATAAAGATGTTTCTTGTAAAGGAAAATTGTAACTGTCATGTACATTCATCTAAGAAATTAACAATTATTAAAATTACCTTCTCTAATCCATATCTCTTTATGAGATGCGCAGCACGATGGTATTGTTTCATGAGATACATACATTGTGCCAGAGTACATATATCTTTTGGGTCCTCATTACTCAGTGATACCACTTTGTCAGCCCAGAACAAGGCGGCACTGTACAGATGCTGAAAGTAAACATGACAAATTAAATATATGCTTAATCGTAGAGATTTGCAATTTTATTTTAACAAAGCTTACCAAATCGATGTACGATCTGACTAGTTTTCTACAATTTTCCAGATCAATGCTCTTCTCCTCTAACAAGTTATGCATGCTATCGTTATCGTTATCACGGTGTGACATGTTTAATTAATTCTAAGTTTAGATGTAAGTGAAGTGTTTTTTTTTTATAGAGTGCTTTCAACTCGAAAAAGTTATCTAGTATATACAAGAGAACCAGGTTAGAACTGATGTACACACTTGTCCGATAATTAGATAACTAGATTTCTAATGGGAGAAAAAGATTCACAGGAATCTTAAATTTCTTTTCAAATAGATTTTGTTCGTTCTAATAGCACTTTCTCGCATTTGCTCTATTTGAAATGCGTACAATAATTTTTTCAAGAGTGATTAAAATGTAACTAAGAGAACAGCTGATCTATTCTGATAAGTTTTACAGTGACGGGCAAAAACTCTATGGTTTTAACTGCACTCTCTTCTACTTTCTCTATTTTTTAAAATAATATAAATTTCGGAGAAAGAAGAAGAATATAAAGTAGATAAAAAGCGCCAGCAAAACGAGTAGGTTGATTATTTTGAACAGCTGATTATCTCGATTACACGCATGCGCGTTGCGACTGCACTTATAATCGATCAATGATCGAGATCGAGGTAGCATGAATGACATACCAAATAATTAAATAACTCTTCTTGATACACTTTATAATTAAAAACCGCGCAATTAATTAAATTATTTCATTATAGAATTTAATATTTTATATTATATGAACTATTTTATATTATAAAAACAAAAAAATGAAGACCTTGGATCAACTTTTCTATCTAAAATAATTATGAGTATAATATTTACACATTTAATATTTTTATTAAACTAGAAATATAATTCCAAATAAAACGCCAAAGTTTTGTACCATTTATATTTGCAATATATTAAATAATTATTAATTAGATACAATCATGTGCGATATAGTAATTTAAAGTCATATCATCATTTCTATATACATTTTTTCTTTTGTTCTTTTTCTCTCTCTTTCTCTTTGCTTGACTTTTTCCATTTTCGTAATATTTTAACAATTTTTTCATCATTATGAGAGTCTTAATTATTATTATGACACGGGTTTGAGATGCATCAAATATACACACAAAACATTAGTTATTTCTTCTATTGTAGCTTTTTTCGCTTTGTGCATCACTTGTCTCACACACAATCTCGCATTAATTATACAAAAATGGGCTACAACGCTCAATATTCAATTCTGTCCGTTGATATACCTTGATATAGAGATGTGTAACATCGGTGACGAAATCCTCAAGATCTACAAATATATAGCGAGTGCAAAATAATCGAAATTAATTGCACAACATAACAACGATAACATAAATTCGCACGTAAAAAAGTTGCTCGCAATTTAAAAAACTTATTGAAAGAAAAAGAGTTTGCCAGTTACAATCCATTTTGTGTCCATCTTTTACATACGTGTAACGCGCGTATACATGATCTCTGTTTTCTATAATATTCCTTTTCCTAAATTTTAATTTAGATTTCATCATGTGTTTATATTATCATAATGTCGATGCGTTTGTTCGAACATCATTTTCATTCATTATGTATTCAAAAATTAAAAAAGATGAACGGTAAATGCCCAAACTATCCGACAGTTGTCGATTAGCAAAATCGATTTAACAAAAAAAAAAAAAAAGTTTGATTCTTATAATACTGTTGAGTCGATAATTTTAAATTATCTATTCTCAGTTTCAAAGCTCATCACATATATAGTGTGATACACTCGAATGTGTTTACCTATTATTCGGTACAATTATATACTCGTTAATATCTCCATAATTAATTATTCTCTCCACGAGTCTTACGGAAAACTATGGTACCCGCTTCGATGACTTTTATTGACGGGTGCCTAATTCACTATTAAACATTATGATGTATATGATGCAAAAAAGGCACACTACAGAAAGTAACTAAAAAATCGCACTTTACATTCGAACTTAATCGAGACAATCTAAATCGCCAAATTAAATATTTATTTTTTCGCAGTACAAAAAAAGGATCGCTAAATATAGAGTGCCACTGTTAAGAGCGATAGATTTTGTGATATACATCAGATGGACCGTCGACAAGCCAATCAATACAATAAATAGCTAGACAATAGAAAAGGAGATAATGCAATAGATAAAATACATAAACGTAATAACGCAGTAAACGATAATTAATATCGATAACATGCCCTTCATAGGTAATCTAAGGGTAAGAGGAACATATATATATATATATA